TTGTCCCAGACAACGTGAGAACAAGATTGTCAAGCCTGTTGCACTTGATGCTTCTTGCTCAAAGCCGTCACCTCTCACCACCATTGTTTGCTGGAAGTCATCAGGAGACTACTCTGCAAGTCGTCCCAGCCCTCCTGAACAAGAGAAGGGAAAGAACTTCTTAATTTTGTTGGAGGCTGAGGTAGGCTTCCCCTTGGTGGAGTCCCCGCTACCAGTGAGACTCACTCCCGGGCTCCTTAGCAGTGTGTGAGGCAGGCCCTGCTCGGGAAGACACACAAGTTGAGCGTTGTCACCTCTGTAAGGATAAATGAAAACATCGTCACCCAGAGACCTTCAATAACTGAAGAAAGCAGGGGGCCTGTACCGAGCAGGTGGTATAGCTGAGCACTGGGAAGCCATGGCCTCTCTCATCCCTTCTGGATGCAGTCACGGTCATTGTCACAGAACAGGCAGGCAAGCGAGGTCTTGCAGTCAAAAGGTCTGCCCTGGGGTTCAACTGGACTCCCACTTACCTGTCATAAATGGTATCTTTTGTTGGGGTCCTAGTAGGACCTCTAGCATCTATTCTTTCTGGAATCCTTTACTTTTCCTAAGTTGATTTTTTTTAACTGGGGTTTGAACTCAGGGTCTCACACTTGCTAGGCAGGAGCTCTACAACTTGAGCCATTCCACCAGTCCTTTTGCAAAACCTTGAGCTAAGGTTTTGCAAACTATTTGCCCAGGCTGGCTTCGAACCTTGGTCCTCCTGAGTAGCTAGGATTACAGCTGTAAGCTACAAGCACCTGGCCTAAATTAGTCATTATCTTACCTCTTCTTCTGCCTTCTCTTCTTATTATTTCTTTTTTCCTTCTGAAATGGGGTCTTGCCCAGGGGCTGGCTTTGAACTTGCAGTCTTCCTGCTTCAGATTCCTGAGTAGCTGGGGTTACAGGTGTTTGCCATCATGTCTGATCTGCGTCTTTGTAAGAACCACGCCTCAGATGCATGCACAAGGCCCTGGGTTCCATCCCCAGCACGCACGCGTGCACACACACACACACACACACACACACACACAAACTCACACACACACACAATCTGTGTGTGGGGCACAGGAGACTCATAGCTGTCTGCACGTCTGAATCACCCAGGGACCTTAGAGATGACTAAAAAAATGGGTCCCACCCTGAGAGAACCTAGGGTCAGGAGTGACCTGGTGTTTTTTTTTTTTTTTTTTTTTCTAAAATTCCCCATGCAGCCCGGGCCTGGAACACCTGGGTGGCACGGAAGCTCTCAGACTTGGGTATGTACCAGAACTTCCGGAGGGTGTGTTAAGACACAGACTGGGCCCCACCTGTGGATTCTGGTTTGGTAGATCTGGGTGGGGGGAATTTCTAACCAGTTCTGTTAGTGTTGTTGTTGCTCGTCCAGAGCCAGTGCTTTGAGGATTACTGGGTTCCAGTGGGCTAGTCGCATTTCATAGGTGACACAACTAAGGAACAGGTGAAGGGGCAGCAGTACCTGATGTGTGTGTGGGTAGGACTTTGAATCATTAGGGTCCCTTGCTGACCCACATGTCTCCCTGTCCTTCACCTTTACATCACGGAGACTGTCACTGATGCTTTGAGGTCAGTGAACTCTTCTGTCCACAGCAGGTGCTCAGCAAGGTAATGGGGCTGCACTGCCTGTTACCTGGAACTGTGGCCATTACTGTCCCCTTCCTCCCTTGGCCCCAGACAGCACTCTCTTAGACTCCCGGGTGCCTCCCTTGGGGCACCTCCTTCCTTGGTATCAGTGTCTGTTCATCTGTGAGCCTCCCCCATCAGTCTGTGAGGTTCTCAACAGCAGGAACGTGTATGATTCAGCGTGGAGCCCAGTGTGGGGCGTGGAGCTGGGAGTAGAGCTGGTGAGGATGACGGCCTGGGTGGCTCAGGACCTCAGTGCTGTGAAAAATCACAGGCTTACAGCTCAGGCGAGCGCTCTGGGTTTGTCTGATGTGCTGAGTGCTGGATGCGGAGCCCAGCAGCAGCACGTGGCCTGACCTTGTGGCACCTTCAGGGCTTCATAACAGCACGTCCATCAGCCTCTCACGCCAGGATGCCTGCTGAGCCTCTGGCCACCTCAGAGAGTACTGCTGACACCACTCTGCTGTCATCTCTGGAGACATCCCCTCTTTCCTGCATTTGGGCATGTCAGCCACGAAGCCCGGAGGGGGCCCACTAGCTGACCTTGCTGTCTACACTTCCCTACATCTTTCTCTTGCTTCTGTGTCCCCAAAGTCTCTGATGTAGGTCACTAAGGAAGGTGAATGCAGAGTGGGAGGCACCTGGAAGTGGGGTGAGGGGTCCCTGCAGAGTTTTCCTCCATTCTCTCCTTCTTTGTTCCTGCTGGCTAGCTCCCAGTCACCACAGCTCTCTCTGGACTTAGGAGGAGTAAACTCCTAAAGTGGCTTCCCATGCCTGTCCTCACAGTGGCCAGGATGACATCTGTAAAAATGCTAGCGATCGCACTCCCCAGTAAACTACTCCACTGGCTTTCCATCAGCCCGTGAATACAAATCAAGCCCCTGCTGCTGCTCCCTGGCCACACGGGCTTGTCCCTCTCCTTGCTATTGGTCTCCTGGTTCTCAGGTCCATGTGACCTTAGGGGCTTCCCTGGCTCCTAGAGCCCCTTTCAGTCTTCATTAGATGGTGGACTCTTTTCTTCTGGGTGCTTGCTAGTAGCTGAAACTGGCTTTCCTTAGTAGCCGTCTGTTCTGCTCAAGAGTGTGGGGAACTTCTCCGTCTCTTTCATCACTGTGTCCCCATGTCCAGCAGTAATAATCTCAGGGAGTCAAACAGCTCTGAGCTGTGGGTTCACAGAACAGACAAATCAGCCTTGCTCTCCCAAATGCCTGTGGCCTCATTCCAGAGAAGCTGTAGATTGTTTTGGAAAGCCCTGGCGAGGTGTTGTGCCATTTGCATCCCTCTTTTCACCTGAGGCTCATCCAGCATTGTGAGCCTCAGTGTGCACTGGGATGGAGGTGGCAGTTCACATTTCCTCCATGCTTGGCCCCAGAGGTTGGGATGCTCCCAAGACAGCCCTACAGCCAGATGACAAGCAACTCGGGGGGTGCACAGAGCACCACCCTGAGTCAGAGACCTGGGTCAGAATTTGGCCTCTGACATATACTGGTGGTCACTGAGCCTGTTGTCTCATCTGTAAATGGGACAATTATACATACTGCACAGCCTGGTCATAGGGACATAGTAGCAATCTGCCAGGAGCAGAGGTCCCCTCTTCTTTTCCAGTTCCTAAGAAAGTGTCCAGCACATAATAGGTACTCAATAATTTGTCACAGTCAGAGGTCTTATTTAACACAAAATAAAGCAAACTACATGTTGGAGAGACCTTAGCAATTGTGCAGCCGGCCTTTAATTTACAGCTGTGAGCTGGAGACTCAGGGAGTTTGGAAAGCTGTCACATGAGTCTGGGTCTAGGCTGGGATGGAGCCCACTCTTCTCTGATTCCCAGCCCATGCACCCCAAAGGCCATGTTGCAGCTTCTTCACAGATCCCCTTCTGTCTCCCCCTTCCTTCAACCTCACATTGACCCTGCTCTGTTCTCTGCCTCCTTTGCTGGACCAGATGTTCCCACATCTGCATGTGTCTCTCTCTTTCTGAATCTGACAGGTTGGGAATTTATACCAGGGAGCAAGTCGAGTGCACATTCCAAGGGAGGAGACTTTAGAAATCTAGCCAGAGCAGATCCTAGTCGCTAGTCCCCCTTTCCCCATGGTGGGCACTGGGGGGACCCTGGTAATGCTGCCTGCACTTGGATAGGCTCCCCTGGAGAGGGTGACAGGTAGGGGAGCCCAGGGAACCCCATTCCCTGTCTTTCCCAAATGTTGGAGTTGGAGGCTTTAATCCTCTGCTCTATTTGGTTCTCTCTGGAGTGAAGGGACCCAGTGGGAGGTATGGTGGGGACTCTAAGGCTGAGAGTCTAACTCAAGTGCCTCTGGGGAAGGATGGAGGGCTGGGTGGCCTTGGCCTTGCAGAGGATGCAAGGCTGACCTGGACCCTGGCTTGCCTGGGGACACTCCAGCCTGGCCTTATGTTTGTCACCAAGGCCAATCTGGAGCACACAGTGGGTGTGCATGCAGTGAAGTTATTTTGCTAGACATTGAACTGAAGTAGCCTCGTGACCTTGGCCACGGACTTGCTGGGCTCTGAGCAGCAGTCTCCACATGCTCTCTGGTGGCCTGCCAGGTCCCATTGGGGCCTCTCCATTCAGGCCCCTTTTTCCAGGCTGTCCCCCTGGCCTCAGCACCCCTATATAGTCAACTCTCTGCTGTTCAGGTGCTGTCCCTCAGTGGTCCCTGGGGGTGCAGATAAAGCCACTGTGTCAGGTGCCGAGCAGAAGCCTGCTGGCCTTGGGGTAGGTTCCTCTGGGGGCTACCTTAGACCTTTGCAGGCCCCTCCAACATTGGAAGTTTTCCTCTCAGGTCTTCTTGGCCTCCAGGCCCTTATCTGCCCCTTCTTCTAGAGGAGGCCCTTTCACAGTTTCACCTGGTCTGCCTCTGGGGCTGTTTTACCTCTAACCGTGTCTCTTGGCTGTGGTCTGTGCTCCTCTCCAGGCTGTCAGCTTAGGACGCACCTGGTTTGTTGCCCATTGCTGTACCTCAGTGCCTGGAACCCTGCTAGCGCAGAGTAGGCGCTCAATAAATACCCGAGGACAGACAGAGAGGACAGAAACAAGGGAGGGAAAGGAGGCAAGGTGCAGGGGGGTGAGCAACTCCGGGAGAGGAAAGGTCTGCGCTGGAGGCGGGGCTGTGCCCAGGATCTCGGCCGGCCCAGGCACCGAGCGGTGGGCGCTCTTGCGGCGGACGCCGGCTGGCCGGCAGGTGGCGGTGCGCCCTCGGCTGCGCGGCGGCGCGGGGAGCCGGCGAGTCCCCTCCTCCCGCGGTTCCCTCCCCTCGCCGGCTCCTTTCTCTGCGCTCTTGCTCGCGCTCCCCAGCGCCCTCCCGCTCTCCCGGCCGCGGTCTCCCTCGCCGCGCCGCCCCGCCGCCGCCCCTCGGCGACCATGGCGCACCGGGGACCCCCGCGCGCGCCGACGGGCCCCGGCCCCACCGCCCGAGTCCCGAGCCCCGGGACGCCGCCGCCGCCGCGCTGGCCGCGCTCGCGGCCGCTCCTGCTGCTGCTGCTCCTGCTGGCCGCCTGCGGGGCGGCGGGGCGCTCCCCCGAGCCCGGGCGCCTGGGTCCCCGCGCGCTGGTGACCCGAGTACCACGGAGCCCGCTTGCGGGGCGCGCGGAGCCCGGGGGCCGCGAGGACCGGCAGGCGCACGGCGCAGAGCCCGGCGCCCCGGGTTCCGATCCCGGTCCCGTTCCCGGTCCCGACGAAGACGGTGCCCCAGCTTCGAGCAGGAGGCGCTGGGCGCGGGCGGCGCCGGTGGCCGGAGCGGCTTCGCGGGCGCAGGTCTCGCTCATCAGCACGTCGTTCGTGCTCAAGGGGGACGCGACACACAACCAGGCGATGGTGCACTGGACGGGCGAGAACAGCAGCGTAAGTGACCTCCGCGCGCTCCCCGCGGACCTTGTCCCGGACACCTGGCCCCAGGGAGACTGTCACAGCCCTCCACTTCCGGACCACCCGCGGTCATCCTGGCGGGCGTTCCTGGCCACTTGGGGATGCGCGTCACCTCCGCGGCGCCCCTACTGGCCTCTGGTCACGGGTTACTTGGGGAAAGGTCCCCAAATATGTGAGCCTCTTTCTCAGAGAGCATTCCCCGTAGATTTCAGGACCCTGAACACCTCGGGGGTTCCACCCTGGCTTCCAGATCTCATTTTGGGAGGGAGGCCCCAGAGGCTTCAGGACCCGGGCCACCTGGGGTGCCTCCAGGTTCTTGAGGGCCACCCTAGCTCTGTGTTGCCTGGATGGCCCCACACTCCACCAGGTCTTCCCTGCATGCAGTCTGCGATTTCTGGCTCCAGGATCCTCCCTACTGGAGACCCCTGTGGGCTCCAGGACTTCCTTCAGTTCCTCATGCTGTTCTGCCACTCTGGATTCCGGCGTTGGGACTGAGGCTGCCTTGGAGTCCCGCTTAACGTGCCTGAATGCGCCTGGACCTGCCTATCCCTTGGTTTAGTAGCTCAGCGCTACAGCGGCTGGGAACTCCTGCCCCACCCCCTCCCGCCTCAGGCCACACTGGCTTCCCTGTAGCTGAAGTTCGCTACCCCTCTCCCTCTGATGGGGGCCTCCAGCCCCTCCTACCCCCTCTCTCATTCAGCCCCAGAGGCACGGGGAACCCCTTACTAATTTCAGGGTCAGGGGAGCGCTGTCTCAGCTGTGCTTTTCCTAATGAAAGAATGATGGTCACTCTGGGATCCCCTGAGGCAGCCCCAGGTGGGTCCTTTTCAGGAGCAAGTTTGGGAGAGGGGGGTGGGAAAGCGCTGATTCTCCAGGGAGGGGCATGTGTATGAGGAGGGGAGGAGATAGGAATTTCACTCCTCCCATGTGCTGGAGAAGGGATAGGGTGACTGGATAAATATGTTGAGTCAGGGCAGTGGACTTGACTGGTTGGGAGCCCAGTGTTTCCCTCTCCCTGAGTGCAGGTTCCTCCTCTGGGCTTGGGTCATTTCTGGCATCTTGGTTTAGACTAGCAGCCTTCAGAGGGCAGAGCTGATGTCCCGGAAGTGGCAGGCCAGCAGGGGGCAGTCAGGGCGCTGACTGGGCCTGGGGGCTGCTCCATCGGTATCAGACTCAGGTGTGCAGCTGGGCCCAGCCTTTCATTGGTGGACAATACTTGTGAACAAACTGTGGTTTTGTTCCATAAGCCATTCCAGAGGACTGAAAGGTAACCCAGAAACTGAGAACTCCAAGGACCAAATAAACACAGAGTAAGTCCTGTGGATCAGAAATCTCTAAACTGATCTGCTGAGGTTGATGATCCAGCTAGCCTACTCCTGTCCCCTTGCCATTTAGCTTCTCCGGGAAACACTGGGTTGGGGTGGAGGAGACACAGAAACGAGACCAGCTGCCTCCAGCATGGGCTGATGCTACCCGACCCCATTCTGAGCTGGGAGCCCAGGCGCCTGGACATTGAGGAGGGAGCTTGGCCAGCAGGCGGGGGCCCTGGGTTAGGGAAGGAGCCTCTGGCTGTCTCCTGAGTGGGGTGACAGGTGGAGTGGGTGGACTTGTATCCTGGTTGTGGGCAGGTGAATGCTGCGGGGAGGGGTCGTAAGTAGGGGTGGGAGTGGGGGCCATGCTGGCTTCTCTTTAGTGAGCACAGAAGTCCAAGGAACCAGAGAGGAGCGTCCTGCAGCCAGCGGGAGGGTGGGGCTAGGGTGTGGATAGCAGGCCAGCTTGGCACTTGGATACCTAGGAGGCAGAACTGCTCCATTGAGATTAGTGGGTGTGGGCATCTTGCAGGGTCAGGAAAAGGCTCCCCAGGCATTTGGCTTAATCCCCTCTCCCCTCCTGCGCCTGCACTCACCCATACTCTGCAATGGGCAAGAGGGGAGGACAGACGGGGTTCCTCTCTGGAAAAGCTGGTCCCCCTTCCGCTGGAGAGCTGCAGATGCATTCAGTCTCACCTTGCCTGAGAAAATCCAGAAGCGGTGGAGGAAGAAGAGCAGGGCTGCACTGAGAGCTGCCTCAGTGAAACTGCCTCTTTAAATCCTCAGTGCTGGCTTCATGCGTAGCATTGCTTTCTTGGCTCATGAAGTATCTTAGAAAAATGCACTTTGCACTCTCCACTCTCAACCCGCAGCCACAGGGACAAAGATTGTAGCCAGCACTTGGCAGTTGGCTTCATCTCCACTTGAAAGCACCATCTTTGAAAGCTGCAACCGGGGAAGGAAGGAACTGAAGGCCTCTTTGCTGTGCTTTGTAAATGTTAGGCCTGCTCCTTGCTCCCTGCTCTCTGCAGACGTGGTCAACAGCAGAAGTGTTGACTTTGCCATCTCAGGTATTTTTCGAAATTAAAAAAGCATTGGAGGGAGAGGGGTGGACTTTTACAAATGGCATCCGAGAGCAGGCCACTAAAAGGAATGATCGAATTCAAGCTGGCTCAGAGACAATTCCCCCATATGCGAGTTTTCCCTGCAAGGGCTGCATTCTTCCTGCTCCCATGGAGATATGGACGAGCACTTGTTTGGAAGTTCAAACACTGCCTCTGTGTGTGACGTTTAGCTGTAGCAAGAAATTGTTATATGTGAAGTTCATGTTTCATTGAAACCAAGCTGCGTTTCCTTTTTATGGACCCAGAAAAGGCTGTGGTGCACACACAGCTCCAGGGTTTGCTTCTCCCGTGCTGCCCTCGGATAAATATTACAAGCTGCTACTCTCTGCCTCTGGGGTGGTGGGCTTCCTGTTACCCTGATGGGAATGTGTGGTGCCACGACACGACTCAGTTGTACTGTTTCTGGGAAATCCAGTAATGATTAGGCTTATTTTCCACATTGCCCTCTGGAGCTCCTTCCCTCAAGACACGTGAACTTCAACTTTGATCCATCATTTGACATGAATGTGAGCTTCCCACTGCTAGGTCCTGTTTGTGGCTCCTTGCTCCCTGAACCTGTTTACCAGACAGATGGGCACCTACCTACCTCTCCCCTTTCCTGCCCGCCCCCTCCTCACTTTCCACAGCTGCCCTGAGCTGATTCAGTGCCACCTCTGGGGAAGTGGAGGGGGTCACTTCCCAGAGAGATCACTGAGATTAGCCACAGTCTGCTCTGGGGTCCTGATTCGCCCCCTTATTCGTGCCTATTTACAAGCCTTACAGAGCTGGAGCTTCAAGTCAGAAGAGCTTCTGAGGCTGGATTCTCCCAGTTAGAAGGTCAACAACAGGCCATCAGTGTCAGTTTCTCCTAGTGACATGGGAATTGGGTCACAACACCTGCAGGGGTGTCGAGTCCCCTCGGGGCAAGTTCATTAGTTTTTCTGGGGTTGCTGTGACAAAGGACCACAGAGTGGGTGGCCTAAAACAATAGCCTTCTTCCCTGGAGAGTGGAAGTCTGAGGTACAGGCGTTGGCTGGGCTGGTTCTTCTCTTCTTGGCTGGCAGATGGTATCTTTCTGTGTGTGTCTGTGTTCTGATGCCCTCTTCTTAGAATGACACCAATTACATTGCATTAAGGACCGCCATAATTAATTCATTTTAACTTCATCACCTAATGAAAAGCCCTGTACCCAAATATAGTCACATTTGGACATGCTGGGGTTAGGATTTCAATATAGAAACTTGTTTTGAGGAGGTGAACACAATTCAACCCCTGATACTAGGGAAAGGGTTTCACTTCCCTTTGTATCCATGGTGTAGCATGGTGGAGCTTGGATTAGTCTAGTGGGAGAGGCAGCTAGATATAAGAGGTGGGTGGCCAAGAGGCGGGTGGTGTCTTCCCCTCAAGGGAAGACTGCATGGCGGAGGTGGCACCAGGAGGACTGCATGGCAGAAGGGGGAATATATAGGAGATGGAGAAGAGGATTCAACAGGAGGGACAGCTTGAGTGAGGTCTGGGGGGTAGGATTTTGAAGACACATGTGAATCCTATAAAGAAACAGTGTGCAGACAGAAACCAGAGGAAAGAAGCTGGGGGAAGGTGGGCGAAGCCAGCTCATGACGGATCCTAAGTGTGCAGCCGGGGGGTGGTGGATGTCGACAGTTAAGCCTAGGAGCCAGCTTGCCTGGGTTTGTGTCTCAGTCCTGCCATTGCTGGCACAGGGACCCTGGGCAAATGTAGGAGGTGCTTGTGTCTTGGCAATGGAGAAGTACGGGCTCTTAAGTTGCTTGTGCAGTGAGATATTCCAAATCAAATGCGTAGGTCAAAGCTTGGTGCAGAGTAAGAGCTCAGTAATTGGTATCCAGCTCCAGTCTGCTCAGAAGGGACACTGAAGGTGCTATGGAGGATGGGGCTGGTGGGAATGCTGACGGATGAGCAGGGAGGAGGCTGCTGCCCGGCTGAGGCTGTGGCCAGGGCTGGGGCGCTGCAGGAGGGAAGGGTGGGTCTGAGGGAGGTCTCTACGTGAGGCTGCATGTGGTCTCTGGACTCAGCAGTTCTCCACCTTCCTGAGCACTGCTGGGCTTCTGTGCTCCAGCTCTGCCTCCAGTGTCTGGAGACCATCGGAGTTCTCATGAACGGGTCCAAACCTGGCTTCAATGCTGACTTGTAGCCTTGTGTCTGATGGCTGTAGCGTTGTGATGTCATCTCCCTTCTTCTTACAGCTGAGTTTGGTCACTCCAGGGCACAGGGCTTTACCTACAAGGCCACAGACCTTCCTGAGTGCTAGTTTGGAGCCCCAGCCACCATGGAGTGGCCTTCCAGGGTTGAGGATGGATGCTGGTTGGAAGAGCGGTCTGGCTCAAAGTTATGAGCTGCGGCCTGTCAGCTCATAGGTGGTGTGTGTCTGACCAGATGAAGTGCTTTCTGTCATGTCAGCCATCACCAAGGTACCCAGCTGCCATTCTGAGTGAGACAGAGGTTAAGGGACACAGTGACTGGTGCCGAGAGTGCTGTCAGGAGCTGACTGCTGATGTATGAGCCACAGGACCTGGGCCTGGAGACT